CCCCAAAACCCCAAAACCCCTAGGTGATGAATTAGAAAAAAAATTAGATTTAAACCAAAGTAGTGAGAATATAAAAATATTAATATATTTAGGACTCAAATATTTATTTGGCACAATTTCATTCTTTGACTTATAAAAAATTACACAGCAAAATGTTGTCTCACATCACTCAATCCAAAGAGGACGAGGAAAGGCACGCTAACTTGTGGCGTCTTATCAAAAATACAAAAAAAACTCACAACCAAATGCTCGACCAAAAATATGCCATTATCAAAACTATCGGAGATGGACGATATGCAAAGTAAGTGATTCAATCCTCATATTTATTTGATCAATTTATTCTTAAATGGCACAATTCCTCATCTAAACACTTCTTTATTAGAGTGAAGCTTGCGATAGATTTAAGTAATGATAAATAAGTGGCTATCAAATTCTTAAAAGTAAGATAAGGTATAAGCAAGCGCAAAGCACTTGAATGCTTGCACCGAGAGATAAAAATACTGGCAGATTGTGATCACCCAAACATAGCCAAAATCAAAGATTCCTCATTTGAGGGTGTTTTAATCAAGGAGCCGCTGAATATGGACAACTCACCAGATTCATATGATAAGGAAACCAATAAAAATGATGATTGCGAGTAGTTAACCGAGAGTAAACAGATGAAGAGAAAGGTGAACGTGTGCTATTACGTAATGAAATTAGCTGAGTACGGAGAGCTTTACAGATTCATTGAACATACTGACAGATTTCAAGAAAGACTTGCTCGAGCATTGTTCTCTCAGCTGATTGAGGGCCTAAATTATCTTCACCAGCACGGAATAGCTCATAGAGATATAAAACCGGAAAATTTGTTGATAGATTCTAAAAACAGGCTAATTATTGCTGATCTAGGTTTCGCAGTGTAGCTTGATAGGGACGAGATGCAGGGAGCCTCATTATACTAGTAATATGTTTAGAAATGCAGACTGGTCGGCTCTGAAGATTATAATGCACCGGAAATAATGTTTGATGAAATGCTGAATGACATGAATTAAGAACAAGAAATCAAGTAAAAATCTGACTCTGAAATTGCAGGCGGGTCTGGAGTGAATACCCACTAGAATAACTAGAACAAGAATCAGAAGCACTTACTATACGATCCAATGAAAGCAGATATCTTTTCTGCTGCAACAACACTGTTCATAATGGTTATGAGATGCTCTCCATTTAGAAAAGCGCACATGAAAGACCCTTATTTCAAGAGATTGTGTGCTTAGGATAGAAGGCCCTTCTGGAACATATTCAAAGGTATACTTTCGTCAACTGACTTTAAGGATTTGTTCGAATAGCTTACCAGAAGAGATCCCGAGGAAAGGATTAATTTGAAGCATATCCTAAATCATCAATGGCTTCTTAATAAGGATAGACTGGACGAAGAAGAATTTAGTGAAGAGATCAAAAGAAGGTATGAAGTGGTTGAAAAAACAGCTGTAATGGATTTTGATCAGCTGAACAAACAGGATAAGATGATGCACTCTTCAGTTGATAATGAACTCCTCATGAAAGATTTAGAAGAATTCGAATAACTTAGATAAACTCTTGTAGATGAAATAAATCAGGTCAATAAAAAACTGCTCTACAAGAGGAACCTTAAAATTATCAAAAGGGAAGCAATGAAATTCATGATTGATGATTCATCAGCAAACATGCCTAATTTTTAGATGTAATGTTCAATTCCAGAGCCCAAGTAGTCCAGTTCAAGTTCGAAGTTGTATCACTCAGACCCAGAGAACTTCAAAGTTAATGATTAGAGCTAGGAGGAAGAAGAAACTATTAAAAGGAACTAAAGAACCTCAAGTCAAAACGATAGTCGGCTGAACTCATTTGATGAGTGAACTTTTGTAACAATTAATTATCTATAATTATATAAATATGAGCAAAGAGGTTGCCACTCCCTCTGATAACTACTCAGAGAAGTGTCACTTAATTATCTCAATTTTTTCAAATAAGCTTTTTATAGCAATTAATAGCTTTTTATCATTAATGAAATTAAAAATAATTATTCATTAGAATTGCATCCAACCTTTAGTCATCATTCATTAATCAAACACCCTAACTATAAATCCAGCTCTTGGTTTTGGTTCAAACCAAGTGCTTTTCGGAGGCATAATTAAGCCAGAGTCTGCAACTAACAAAAGATCATCAATTATTACAGGATTCATAGCGAATGCTGCGACACAGTCATCAGCACATCTCTTCTCTAACTCCTTCAATCCTCTAATGCCACCTACGAAATCTATTCTCTTATCAGTTCTTACATCCTTGATGCCTAAAATATTGTCAAGTACCAAATCATTTAAAAGTTAAACATCAAGATTCTTTACTGGATCTTATTGGGTATACTCTGGCTTCAGTTCACAATTATACCATTTATCATCTTTCAAGTATAAGCTAAATTGATGCTTTCTATTTGGCTTTACTGCTTCGATGGATTAATTAGAGTGCTCAGAAACCTGATAGAACTGAGACAGCTTTTGAATGAATTCTTTGTTTGTCAAATTATTTAGGCTTCTGAGGACCCTATTATAGTCCATTATTTGGAGTTGATCAGCTGGGTATAGAATTGACATAAAGTAGTTGAAGTCTTCATCCCCTGTGATCTTAGAATTTCTTGATAAAGCATAATCTCTTCTATATTTTCCAACATTGTAAGAAGCTGCTGATCTGTGATGTCCATCTGCAACATAAGTTTAATCTATCTGCTTGAATTCTTCCTCAAAGAATCTATTTTCTAGGCTATCAATTTTCCACAACTAGTGCTCAATATCATCTTCAGATACTACTCTTTGATAGGGTTCGTTTTGTTTTACTATACTATTTACTTTCTCTTTTATTGAATCTCCTTTCTTATAAGTAAGAAATACTGGACCAATGTTAGCATTCTAGATATCAATAAGTTTTGTTCTATCCTCTTCCTTTTTAGGCAGAGTCTTTTCATGCTTCTTGATTTTATCATTTTCATAATCTTCAATTGAGCTAGCGGCAACTAAACCATATTGAGTTCTACCATTCATTTTTTGCGAATATATGTAATATCTAGAGCTCTAATCTCTTTCTAGCCAATTTTATTTGATAAAGTGCTGAAGATTACTTTTTCCAGTTTGGTATACTAAATCTGAATAGTTATCTGTGCCCTCTGGTGTGTCTATCTCCGGTTTATTCACATGCAAAAAGCTATAAGGGTTTCCTTTAGCTAAGACAGTAGCCTCTTTGGATGATATTACATCATACTCTGGAGCTAAGATCTTCTATGCTAGTTATCTATTTGCAAGATATGCCTGGAAAGGCTTGACTTTTACCATATTCTATGAATTTAAATAATTTGATTTCGTCATCATTATTAGACATATCATCATTAATCATGGGGTTTTGGGGTTTTGGGGTTTTGGGG